CCTCCACAACTAGACTGAAGAACAAAAGGACAGCAACTTGTCTGTTCCCCTTCCCCCAATTCCCCAGCACTGTTCCCATCCCCCCAATTCCCCCAATAAAAATCTTAAAAAAAAATAAAAAAAAAATATATATATATACACACACACACACATATATATCTATATCTATATCTATATATCTATATATATCATTTACATGTTGATAATATTTTGGATATAATCAATTAAATAAAACATTAATTTTACCTGTTTTCATTTTGTTTTTAACCGGCCACTAGAAATTTTAAAAACAGGTAGGTGACTGCATTATATTATTAGATAGCGCTGTTCTTGATCAGCAAAAGTAAAGGACAGAAAACACCCACATTTCCTCAGGGAGCACTGACAGCCCGAGCCCTGTCTTCGGTGGGACTGGGAGGTGAAGTGTCATGCTGAGAGCTTTCTGGGAGGCTCTGAGTGCTTCTCCATGTGCTGTGCTCCAAGGTGTCCAAATAGCTCAAAAAGTTAGGGATGCACGAGTCCCCTTGCTCCTTGTCACTCTGCACAGAACCAAGTCGCTGCTGCTTTGTGTAGATTGCATCCAGAAGCTTCTGTCACTTAGGAATATCAAGGCCCAGGCCCGCCTTCCTCCCAGCCCAGCATACGCAGCCCTCGCCTTAAACAGTGAGCTGCTTCGGGGTACTACATGTCGCCGTTTCCTTGCCATCTGCTGGGATATCCTTAGAGAGTGTTTTCCCACTATTAGGATTGCTGTGCTGAAGGGGATATGTGTTTTAAATTCAGATAGAAGGTGCCAAGTTGCTGTCCAAAAAGTCATACCACCTTCCTCTGTTTCCCCACACCCTCAATTGCGTTTCACTGGTTTAATTATTTTCCTAACCTGGTGAAAACATGATGGCACCTTACTTTGAATTGGGGCATCTTTAGTAAAGGAAGCTGACCGACCATCTTTTCCTGAGAATTGCCCATTTGAAGAATTTCAGCTAAGGGAGCCAGCTGGCGTAGGTGCCGCTGAGGGCTCACCAGGGGTGTGAGTTTGTATGTGGCATGTGCTAACGGATGGGGAAGCCACGAGTGCACTGCACATTTACAGAGAAAGTGCCAATATTAATATTAGTAGGAAGTTTGGAGAACTCTTTCTAGTATCAAAAGGTTACATGCAGTTTTGAGGGAAGACTTAGCAGTTAAGCCTTGTGCTGTCTTCGTGTGTCCGGGATAGGAAAGGGCTCATTTTGCTTAGCTGTTGGGGTGCTTCGGTGGGATGTTCAAGAAGCACTAAGTGGCATAGGAGCTTTGGAGCTGCAAAATTTGGGAGTGAGTCATGTCTCGGCCATTTGACAAGTGAACTTGGGCAGATGGTGTGACCTGTTGGCTGTGGTTTCTTTCTGTACAAGTAGCAGCCATGGGAATGGCTGGGTGTGAATGGGACTGTGCTTGACAGATGCCAGAGGAGGGACGCTGTCGTTTGCTGTGTCCCCTGGCTGTTAGGCATCTCCAGGAAACAGAGGGTGAAAGTCTTGGACTGAACCCCCGAGCGTCACTGAGGGAACGGGCACTCGGTGTGCACTCAGGGTCACTGCCCAGCCCGGGAAGCACCTCTCCCGGGGATGAGCGAGTGTGGAGTAGGCCCCTAACGGTGCCCCTTGTCTGTTGGGAGGAAATTCTGGCTCCGTGGTTGATGGGAAATGGGGGTGGGGGGGTGGAGTGAGAGCCCATGTGTGAGCTGAACGTATTCCCTCACTGGCTGGGAAGACTCGGCATCGGGAGCCTGAAGTCCTCAGTCTTACCCCCGACCCACAGCCAGCAGGTGACAAGCGCCCCGTGAAGCAGCGCGTCTCCCTGCAGAGGCTGCTTGTCTGCTTTTCCTGAGCTGGGCTTGGGTGTCGTTCCCGGTGTCCAGTGTCTGGTATTCAGCCTGCAGTATCAGATGCGTTCACAAGATGTCCCCAGAAGGCCTTCCTGTGAATAGGAAGGTGCTAGAAGGCTCATTCCTGGGGAGAACCGGGTGCAGGACAGATGCAGCCAGCCCGTCGTCAGTCCTGAGGGGACTGGGGATTTTTTAAAAAACGTTTTTCTAATTAACCTTCCAAATTCATTCTTTGCAATAAGCCTAAGACCAAACTTGAAAGACAGGCTCTGAAGTGAGTCCCTGAAATAGTACAGCGGCTGACATACTCTGTTTTCCAAGTTTTAAGCTTGAGGATCAGGATCTGTGACCCTCGTTCAGTATTGCACACGTGTGCAGGGTGGTGTGTGTGGGGAAACTGCCTGACTTTTCCCTTTGGTCTGCTTTGCTTTGCTGTGTTTTGCTGGAAGGATATGGAACAACATATAATTGGTTTGCAGGCCTCATAGAAAGAGCAAAGGGGAGAGGTTTCGGCTGCGATGTTAGTTACCTGCTGCGTGAAGAGTTGTTTTAATTTCTTTTGTTTGAGTACATCACCCTTTGACGTCTCCATCCTGCGTTAGGACGTCTGGGGGGGAGGGGCTCTGCTAAAACCCACATTTGTAGAATTTACACACACTCCTGATCTACGCAATGAGATCGTCTCAGAATGCATTAAAAGCTAAGATTTTCTTGCAATAAATGCTACAAAAATTACCTTTTAGAACGGTGTTTTAAAAAACCATGCCAATAGGCAGAGCAGCTGCTTAATTTTACGCTCTGGAGAGTTCTTTATTCTAGTTTTGCTTTGGCTCAATCTTAAGGGGGGGAAAGTGCAGTTAGAAGGGTATCAGTGTGCCAGTGGTTCTCTTTTCTGGTTTTACAGAAACATTCCCTGAAGAAACGGCAATTGGAAAGGTGTCTGTTTCCATAGCAACCAGGTAGGACGCTCAGGGCTCCTTGGCAAAAGGTCAGGCTCTTTCCATTAGGCGACCTGGCGTTAGCATCCATAGTGCAGAGCGGTGAAATCATTTACAAGGCGTCTATTGGCTGTCCTTAGGCTGAGAGTTGCTTCCTCTCCCTCCCACCCGGGGTCCTCCTCCTGCGCTGCCCCGCCTCCAGGTGCCTAGCGTCGATCCTGGTGGCCAGTCAAGTCTTCTGTGAAGCCACGCCCACCTCCCCCTCTTCCACGCCCGGTCATTGAGCTGCGCAGGTTTTGTCTGAAGCAGCGGTTCTCACACTTGTTCGGGTGTCAGGAACCCCACCGGTCTTGGTGTTCTGTGAGGTACCGAGCTGAATGCTGTGACAGCCTGGCATTCTGACAAAATCAGATACAGAATCATATACTGGAGTTCAGCAGAACGAAACAAAAGCATCAGAGGCTAAGATGAAGTTTGCAGGAAAACAAGAGGAGAAAATGGTATCACTTTAATTGTTGCTTTAAATGAGAAAAGCAGCTTTATTCAATTGGAGATCACACCCTAGAGAGATGTTTAGGGGTGTTGTGCAGAAGCTGGGCTCCAACCACAGTCGTTCAAATTCTTGTTAAAGCAGTAACGTGGCAGAATTAACACGTTTCCTGATGTTTACTTATTTCAACTATGAGTAGGATCATTTGTGATTTGATTTTTTAATTGATAAACTTTATTGTTTGGAGCAGTTTTAGGTTCACAGCAAAACTGAGCAGAAAGGACATCCCATATACCCATCCCCACACATGCACACCATCCCCCACTGTCAACATCCCACAGATTGGATTTTTATGGTTGTCCAAAAAGTAGTACAGCTTACTTCAATATGCCTTTGCTTCTAAAAGTATAAACTCCATCCTGGTAAAGAATACCGAGGAGCCTGGTTTATTTTCGTGGGGATGGCTGAGTGCTAGGAGTGCTCAGTACTACTGAAGGCCCTTGCTTCTTGGCCATTTCAGCACTCAGAGCTATTTTACTTTTCTATATCCTCTCTCTATGCCTTGAGATGAGTTTTGGGGGCTTGGACATGATGGTGACCTTCAGAAAATAAGTGGAGATGCCAGGACTGCCTTGATAGGGTAAACAGGAAGGGCCAGGGGGCTTGGGGAGGCGGGCATGTTGGAACACATTTATTATGAGACCAGAGGACACACCATGACTGTGCTTGCTGGGAGGGCCCAAAGGACCTGCCTGTCACTAAAGTGATACCTTATCACGTACTGGCGAGGGGATCTCAGCATTGTTGAGAAGCTCAGTGGTGGCTGTCCTCTGTAGGCATGGAACAGCAGGAGGCACTGCCGTAGGAGTGAGCTCCCCAGTGTCAAGTGGGGATGTTCGATTTTGGAATAGCAGAAGCTGGCTGGTGACCTTACTGTCAGAAGCACAGTAAGTGAGAAGACCACAACAGGCAGCAAGGCCAGAGTGACAACCAAGAGACATATTTATTCCTGCAGCATAGCCTTGCAGGGCTTCCACTCCAAATGGGACATTTCCAAGAACGCTCAGCTTTAGAGGCCCTCACCCACAAAGCTGTCACAATCTCTGCAGGTTCTCAGCCTTGCAGCTGCTTCCTCTAGAATCCACTGACCCCCTAAGTGAAAAATGGCCCTAAATGTAAGGCTTACTTCTCTGGGTGTTCCCCGCCTTTTTTTTTTTTTTTCCTGTTTATCAGTCTGGTAATATTTCACTGTCAAATTAGTACTCTGATGTCATAAACCAAGTTTAAGTGACTATATTTTGAGCAGCTTTTTTTACTGTTCTACATGGGAGGCTGATCTGAATCACTTATCCCTACATTACCAGAGCTAAAAATGAAAGCAAAGGTAAACAATATATTATAACTATATTTATATGTTTTTATTTTATATATTATTTAAGCTTATGTGTGGATGAAAACTTTTTTCCCCGTGGAGTCATGAAGCCAGAGGAGCAGTTTGAATAGTTTTTTCTGTAGTTAACTAAAGATGGACATGCTTCTTATACCCGTGGCCCAGAAATTCTGAGTGTGTGCCTTACAGATACTCATATACATGCACAGACACAGGCAGGACGCTTATTGTAAATTGTCTGTAACTGCCCACAGTTAGGAAAAGTTAGTTATCCAGAAAGGGTGGAACTAGAAAATACTGGCTTGCTGTACTATCTCCCGCCTGCGGACCTCCCCTGGGGTGCACGTTCCCGGCCAGCTGCCACCCCACTTCACTGCTCCCACCTTAGAAGTTAGTCACACAGCTATCCTCCCTTCCTCCCATTCGCCTTCTCAAAGTGTCTATCTAGACTATTAAATATTTCTAAGAACCGAACGAGGACATAACTCATGTATCTACCACCCAGATGGTTAATTTTACCGGTTTTGCTTCAGACACACAGGGTAGAGCTAAGCCCACCGCCACCCTTCACCTCCAACCGCAGGTGACCACGAATCTGAATTTGCAACTTTCTTGTAGATACGGTTCTACTGCCCTTGAAAACCTTCGCACACGTGTAATGTTGGTGACATTTAAGCATTGTAGACAGTTTAAATTACAGCGTTTATAATTCATATACGTACATTTACTATGTTTGGGACGAACCCCCGGGGACACCGACAGGCGTTGTCCACTCGCTTAAGTCCAAGGGATCCCGCACTCGGGGTTTCCCAGACCCAGACAGTTGAAACTGGGGTGGGGTTCCGGAACCTGACCTGCCGCACAGGGGTGCGGTTGCCTGGCAACCGGCAGCCCTCAGCGCCCAGCGGCGCCTAGAGATGACGCCGCCGGCTCGCGCCCGAGTCTGGCCACACCCCCCCGCGGCCGCCGCTTGCCATTGGGCGGCGGGGAGACGGAGGCGGGCCTCGGGCGGTGGGCAGTGCCTCTCCGGAGGGCGGGGTCTTGTTACCTGGGCGGGGCGCCTGCCGGAAGCCGGCGTCGGTGGCCACGCGCAGGTAGGCGAGGGCGCGGAGTCTCGGTGTCGCGGCGTGGTCCCCGTGTAGGGGCGCGGGCCTGGCGGGTGGCCCCGGGCGGGCGGCCCTGCGGGAGTGGCGGGAGATACACGCGGAGGGCCTCGGCGTCCTTCCCCCGGGGTGGCCCTGCGGGTCGCCAGGACTGAGCTGCCGGCCGCCTCGGGCTTTCTGTCACGGCGCTTCGCGTGATTCCCATCGCTCTTCCAGCAACAGCGTCCAGGGGGCTCCCCCTGCGCGTCCGCACGCCCAGGCCACGGGTGAACTTGCATTCCGAGGGGAGGGATTGAATGAATCCGAGAGATGGGGTGAGCGCTGAGGAGAAAACCACGCGGAACGGCTTGCTGAGCGAGCCGCGTCGGTCGCCAGCAGAGCTCCGGGGTGGAGGAAGCGCGGTGCGGGGGAACCAGCCAGGAGCGCGTGTGGCTGGAGCGAAGTGAGCTCAGGGGAGAGGGGCGGGGAGGGGCGGGAAGAGCGATGGGGGTGGGCAGGCCTTGGTAAGGACGGCGACTTTCTCCAAGTGAGATGGGGACCTTGGGGAGGTTTTCAGCAGAGGTGGGACCTGAGCTGACTCGGTGTTTCAAAAGTCATTCAGGACGCCGCGTTGTGTGTGAATGGACTGGAGGCGCAGGGCCACGCGGGGTGGGGGGCCACCGAATAATGCTGGGCGACAGGGGCCCTGTCTTTAGGTGCTGGCTGGATTTTTCGGCAGCCTTGAGTTTTCTCAGCCAGGCGCTTTTTGGGGGGATTAGGGTCATCAGAAGGATGCGGCCTCGAGCTGTTAGAAAGTATGTTGGTGTTTCGTTCAAGTCTTCACAGGCCAGGGCTGAGGCCTAGCGGAGAGCGGGCTGCGCAGCCTGGCTGGACTCTGGGCAGGAGAACATCTTTGTTAGCACCTGGAGTCACTGGTGATCGTGATAAGAACGCTTTTGGTAGAGTGGCTGGGGACAAGGGAGAGTGGTGGCAGAGGAGTTTGAGCACAAGGGGACAGCCTTTGAGCGTTTTGCCGCAGAAAGTGGCAGAAACGCCGAGCAGAGCGTATGGAATCAACAGAGTTTTTAAGATACGGGAACTTGTGGTTGGTTCAGTAGAAGGGAAGAAAGTGATGCAGGAGGGGGCACTGCTCAGAGCACTGTCCTTGAGTAGATGAGGAACGAGACCCAGCACTCCAGGACAGGGCTTGGCCCTGGGCGGAGGAGCCTGGGCAGTTTCCATTGTGATGGGACAGAAGGGCAGACGGGTCGGTGTGGGAGCTTGTGGAAGGCCAGTGTCAGGAGTCTGGTCCGCTGCTGAGCATGGAGAAGGGGAGGCGAGGTTGGAGTTGAGAGCTTAGGAGAGGTGACAGAGCAGACTGGCTGCCTGGGCGTGGCTGGCGCTGGGAAAAGAGGTGGAATTAGTGGGAGCACTAGTGATCCCCTTGAAGCCAGTGAGACCCATCAGCCTGGTCCTGGGGGTTACTAGAGTGGGGGTTTTGCCAGGCAGGTACCATGAAGGGAGCGGAGAATGTATGTGAGGGCGAGATGATAACAATGGACCCTGGACATTAAGTTGTAGAAGTGGAACTCAGGACGGGCGAGGGACACTGAAACGTGTAGCATCGGCAGATGGCAGGTCTCGGTGAGGTTGAAGGACTATTGGGCTCCACGGTGCCAAGAGGTGGTGAGCTGGAAAGAGCTGGAAAGATGGGAAGTGGGCTCGGTGGGTGGGAGGCTTGGAGTTACTATAGTTGCAGGGATTAGAGTTTGGCCGTGAGCGGGAGGGAGAGGTTAAGGTCAGCGAGCAGAAGAGTTTCTGGAGGCATCGGTCTCAGTGGGCAAGTCAGAACTCAGAATAGTCCTGGACCAAAATGGACAGGAGCAAAGCCGCAGCCCTGGGCCCATGCACTGGCGTTCCACTCCTGGCCTCCTCGGACTGACTTCCTAGGGGGTTGTGGGTTGTGAGTATCCGACCCCCCTCCAGGGGGGCCTTGCCCAGTGGGATGGGTGGGATCCTTCCCTATAACCTGCCAAGACATCAGCAGTGACTTACATGAGCTGGGTGAGAGGGGACATCTGGGACCATGGGTGGTTTTTTTCAGATTTAGGAAAAATATTTTTTTCCTATAGGCTGATTTATTTTTTTAAGGTCCTGTGGAGTTACTTTCCAACCTGGATCCCTGGCAGCCTCAGCCTGATGGCGCTGACTTGTCCTAATCAGTGACTGCAGCCCAGCCATGTTGGCGGTCTTCTTATGTCTGTCTGACCTGGGTCATCCATCAGCTTCCTGTTGATGGAATTCTTTGTTTGCTTTATTGAACACTTTTTTTTTTTTTAAGATTTTTATTGGGGAATTGGGGGGATGGGAACAGTGCTGGGGAATTGGGGAAAGGGGAACAGACAAGTTGCTGTCTTTTTTGTTCTTCAGTCTAGTTGTGGAGGAACGTTGCTTCACTGGCCCAAGTTGGCACCGTCATTGCGCTCTTCCCGGGCGAGGCAGATCAGTCGCCGGCTTCTGGACGGCCGCTCACTGCGGCTGCTGGCCGCTCACGCTGGCTGCTGGCCACACACGGTAGCCCATGGCAATCCACTGCCACAGGGACTGCAGCCTACGCCATCGCCAGCGACTCACGGCAGCCCAGCTCCAGTTTGAGCTGTTGTTCAGCATCTTAGCTGTAGAGGGCAGTGTCACTGGCCCTCATATGTGGGATCCGAACCGGGGCCCTCTGGCATCCCAAGCGAGTTCTTAACCATCGCGCCACTCGGCCGGCCCACTTTATTGAACACTTTTGTTTGAGCTCATATCTTAAAATAATTTTTTTTCTTTTATTGTATTGTAATTACAGGAAAGTATAAGGGCAAAAATAAACTTTCTTATAATTCTACCTCCTAAAATGTTAATATTATAATGTATTTCCTTCTAGGTTTTTCCCTTGTGCATATGTGTATAGAACTCCTACAAAATGAGGGTCATCTTTTCACTTTCTGTTGTATTATGAGTACTTACCCATATGGCTGAATAGTATTTCATTGGATGGATCACATTTGGCTTATGCAGCATCAGTTGATGGACATTTAGGTTGTTTCCATGTTCCTACCTTTTGTATATTATGACTACTGCTATGAACATTAGTGTCCACATTTTTATGTGAATGTGTTCATTTTCTTGAGTGTATACCTGGGAGTGGAATCGCTGGGTCACGTAGTGCCTGCATGCGTCACCTTTTGAGGACCTGCTAGGCTGTTTTCCACAGCGACTGCCCCGTTTTATTCCCACCAACAGTGAAGGAGAGCTCCGGTCCCTCCACCTCATCACCAGTGGTTATTATTATTATCCGGATGTCTCTGAGTCTGGCCGTTCTAGTGAGTGTGAAGTGGTGTCGTTTGACTTGCATTTCCCTAGTGATCAGTGATGGTGAGCACCCTTTCCTGTGCTTATTGGCCATTTGTGTATCTTCTTTGAAGAGATGTCTGCTCAAATCCCATTGTCCACATTTAAATGGGGTTGTTGGTCTTTTGTTGAATTGCAAGTGTTCTTCATACATTCTGGATACAAGTCTCTTGTCAGCTATGAGACTCGCAGATATTTCCTTCAGCTCCGTAGGTTGTGTTTTTACTTTCTTGCTGACATCGTTTGCAGCACAAACATTTTTAAATTTTTTTTTTAATTGGGGAATTGGGAAAGGGAGACAGCATTGGGGAGTTGGGGAAGGGGAACAGACAAGTTGTTGTCCTTTTGTTCTTCAGTCTAGTTGTGGAGGACGTCGCTTCACTGGCCCATGTTGGTATTATCATTGCGCTCTTCCACGGGTGAGGCAGATTGGTTGCTGGCCATTGGACGGCCGCTCCGGCTCATGGCAGCCCAGCTCCAGGTCGAGCCGTTGTTCACCACTTTAGCTGTAGAGGGCGCAGTGTCACTGGCTCTAATGAGGGATCTGAACCGGGGCCTTGCTGCTCAGAGCTGGCGTCCCAAGCCAACTCCTAACCAACGCACCACTCGGCTGGCCCAAGACTTTTATAGTTTAGCTCTATTAAACTTAGGTTTTCTATCCTTTTGAGTTAATTTTTTGTATATGATGTGAGGCGGGCTCCAACTTAACTTCTTTTGCATGTGGATGCCCAGGTATCCCGGCACCATTTATTGAAAAGACTTCTTTCCCATCGAATGGTCTTGGCTCCCTTGTCAATAATCAATTGACCACACGTGTAAGGACACGTCATTCTTTATACAAGCATTGTCTCCGAGTGATGAGTCACCATCCCTTGGTACTATTAAAAGAAGCCTTTTTGTAATGTGGAAAAGTCTCCCCCGCTTTTTAGCAAATAGACTTAGTGATTAAACTTTTTAATAATCACTTGCAGAATGAATATAAATTTAACTTTTGTGGTAACTGGTATGTAAATATTTGCTAAACTTTTCTTATTTCTCCAACAAGGTAATTGGCTGGCAGAGTCCTTTGTCTTCTCAAAGCCCCTGTATCAACAGTCTCTCATCCTTTCAAGATTTCTTATTAAGCTGCTAATTGAAATTTGTAGCCTCTGGCTTTGGGTGCTTTTTTAGATAAGGCTTAATTAAAGGGTGTGGAGCTGGGAATTTTCTGACTCCACATACTGATGTTCTTTCAATGTGCTAGAATCCGCAAGTGGGACAGAGGAGCCCTGCGTCCTGGCTCTGTGTGCTTTTGGAGGTGGCCCTGTGATTGACCGCTTCCTTGGTTGTTGGCACAGCTTCATATGCCAGGTTCGCCTTTCGCTTCCCTGGCTCCAGACCAGGAATCTTAAGGAGCTTTGGCTCTTTTTTTTTTTTTTTTTTTAAATAGAGAATGGTATTTAGAACCCTGGGCTCTAGGTGTTAGGGCTTCTCGGCCCTTTTCACTGTGACCATCCTTTTTAAAGTCGCCATTTTCCGTAATGCTTTCCTTTTTGGCATAGCGATTATCATCTCCTCACTCAGTATATACTCCGTCCTAAGAATGTGAGGTATTCTGGACTGCCCGGTTCAGTTTAGAGCCATTCCTGGCATGTGGTCAGCACTCTGCAGGTGGTGCCAGAGGGACCAACAAGTGACAACATCCACGGAAGTGTCTGTGGCGTGGGACTGCCGGGTGACAGGTGTATGCACACTTAATTCCACCAGTGATATCTCGATGTAATTTTCCCCTTTGTTCCTGTGGGTTGGGGGGAGTTTATGTCTCGGGAGCCTGTTCACAGTGGGAGGGGTGCCTGGGTGAGAGGACACACTCAGGACACCCCAGCTTTCGCGCATCTTCGTTGGGCCTTCCTCCTGCACCGGCCCCCCGACCCCTCAGGACACCCCGTGGCCCAGGGTCTTTGCACCTGCTGTCCCTTCTGCGCCGCAACACTTCCCCTAGCTCTTCAATGGCTGCTTCCTCTGTGCTTCGCTGGCCCTCGCGGAGGCCTCCTGGCACTGTCCACGTGTCCCCGGCTTCTGCAGCCACCCTGCTCTCTTTATCCTGTTTTATTTTCTTAGTAGCATGTATCTCTGTGTAAAAGCATTTACTCATTTACTTACATAAATAGGTCTGTCTTTCCCTCCAGAAGGGGCGCCCCACGAGACCGGTTCGCCCTGTGTGCAGCACCCCCGTGGGGCTGGCGCAGGGCTGGCTCTCAGTCAGCATTTGATGACTTGAACGACTTGTATCTCTGAGCGTCTGTTAGGAGAGTCCAAAATGAGCTCTGGTGTCAAGGGAAGAGGGCACTGGGTTTGTGTCCACATTCCTACGCATCCAGCCTTGAACAGCATGTCTGAAGTTGAATCAATATATGCACATGTTGTATAGCTGTAAGTTCCTGTGATTCATTCATTCACACATACAGGCACGAATATTACGAGTTTATGTGTATGTGTGTGTATATATAGAATCTGGGATGTGGAGGGTGAAGCCACTGGAGTGAGTTTAGGGTATATGAAAGGAAATACATATTTGTAATTTGTTAGAATAAAAGCTGGTATTAGTAGGCTTGTAAACAGAGTTTACAAGGACTGGTATTAAAAAATAACCTTTTTTATTTCAAGTATAAAACCTTGAAAGCAAATTAAAACTGAGCTGTAAAAAACAGTGTCTTGCAATCCCACCTCCTAGGTAAAGGTTCTCTTTGTATCCTTCAGACATTTTCATACACATGTGAATATATATACATATATAGCTTTTTCTATTCTTATTTTCAGTATTACTTTCTTAAAAAACAAAGTGGAAAACAGTATCCATAGTATTCTATGTTTTTCATCATATATCTCTAACATGATCTCATTCTTGAATGGGATTCCATTTTATTGGTTTATCCTGATTTATTTAATCCTTTATTGATATATGCGTCTGATTGGGTTGTTTCTACTAAACACATTGTCATGAAAAGCAGTACATATGTCCGTTTGCATGTGCTGGTTGTTAAACTGTCTCAGCTCCAAAAGCCCCTTTTACACTCGGCATCGTGATGCTCCCATGGCAGCTTCTGGGCCTGCGCAGAATGCTTTCTGTTTTCAGTGCCTTTATAGGTTCAGCCCAGAGGGACTGGGAGCAGGGGGGTGGGAGTGGGTGGTGCTTCTTCAGTAACCCTCACTGCAGCAGCTGGAGTTGGTGCAGTTCCTGCCGCTCCCTCCAGGAATCAGCCTGGTCCCCTCAGACACCCTCCCTCAGGCCCCCACTCAGTTCCCCCTCAGAAATCCCTCCGCCAATGTCCCCTCTCAGACGTCCTCCCTCAGAGGTCACCACTCAGAGATCCCAGCAGCAGCCAGTGTCCCCTCAGAGGAAGAGGGCTCTCCACCCCGACCCGTCCGACATGCTCTCAGGTTCTGGACCTCAACCATTTGTCTCGGTCCCACCATCACATAGTCACATGAAGGAAATTGGTATTAGAATTCACGGGCTTTTTCTGTTCTTGTACGTGGAGTTCTAGATTCTACTGTGCTTGAGAAAGTAGAGCTAACCAGTTCATGTCTAGCTTCTGGGATGGCGTGTCAACCCAGTCTGCTGCTTCCACAGTCAAGGAGGCCATCGCAGACCCCTCATGGGCCCCTCCACCCATGGCCAACTAAATGCCCTAGTGACATGGCACATGACGGTCACTTGCAGCCTCCCTAGTTGATGGGGAAATGTGAGTTAGTCCACAATAGTGGAAAATAAAAATAACCCAAATGTTTGATAATTAGGGAATAGACCGATTTTGACTTTTGGAAAATTTTGATACTGTCATTAAAAATGATATTTCTCTTAATCTTAAAAAGCTTTGTGTTCATGTGTAGTTAGAAGTACAGAATATATATATGTGAAAACACTTAGAAATAAGAAATTTACCAAAATATTAGATTGGTTATCTGTAGGTGATGAAACTAGGGAATTTGACTTTCTTTTAACTTTTATATATTGTCCATATTTTCTGAAATATTTTGTATTTCTTTCATACTGGGAGAGTGTAAAAATATTATATGGCCTAAGTAAGACTTTTAACTTACTGTGTATTTAGCAATTTCCTTTCTCTGTTGCAGGATGGCAAAACAGAAGAGAAAAGTTACCGAAGTGACAGGGAAAAAGAATAAAAAATTGAAGAAGGCGTCAGCAGAAGAGATACTACTGGCACCTGATGCCACACAGGGCACCAAGGAAGCGCGTCCCGAGGTAGGTGTGTGCGCTCGTGTTGGCCTCACCTGGAGGGAGACTTAGGTGGTCAGGTGGTCGTATTGCTGGCGTCGGCCTGGGTGACGCAAAGGTGGAACAAGTTACATGTGCATATGCTCAGTGCCTTCTAAAAGGAATTCTAGGGCCAGCAGGAATTGCAGGAAATTTTAGGTTGGAACTCTATGACTGTCTTCAGCCACGAAATCTCCAGGCTGCTGTTTTGGGTGCCTACTGTGATTTAAAGGAGGTTTGGATGGCTTGGTTGAGGCCCAGGAGGGCGAGGGCTGGAGCTGGGCCTTGAGCTGTGCTCTGAGCGCGGGTGGCCTAGCGTGCCCAGGGAGAGGGGCCTTCACACAGGGACACATGAGCGTGGCCTGGAATCTGCATTTAAGAATCCTCACCTAAAAATGGTCATATCTAGCGTGACGTAAATCCGCCACAAAAATATGTATACACATTTAACTTTGTTTTATGTAACCACTGACTTCTGAGTGTTAAAATTTTTCTCTCTATTGGGCTGTCTTTTTTTTTTTTTTTT